AAATATATAATATAATATAAAAAAAAATGTATCAAATCAATCATCATGTTTGAATGTCATACTATTAACGGCAATACTAGTTCAAATACTAGTAAAACAATGAAATATGTTTAATGACTCAAGTAAATAGAGCTGGCTATAGCAACAGCTATATAGTCTATAATCTAGTCTTCTAGTCTAGAGGTATAGTGATGTAACTGCACGTGGTTGATTCGTTGTTTACAAATGGAATAAATGGGTAAAGTTTTTGAAATGAGTTGAAATGTACCTGGCTGTAGAGGCAATGGAGATGGATGCCATGGATGCCATGGAGGTAGCTCTGTGAGAGATACAGTGGAGTAGTATTAATTTTTTATTTGATCGAATTCATGAAAATCTGTGGTTGTTTCCTATTTATTTAAATAAGCAAGTTCACTCCTACGCCTGGCAATTGATATCATTCTCCGATAGGTGGCTGTGAAAAGTTTTCTTTAGAGTAATCTTTTGGAGGCGAGTTAAAGGGCCTCAATGAGTTAAGTGTACCTGGATGTTGAGGCAATGGAGATGGATGCTGTGGTTGTTGCTCTGTGAATATATTTTAAAACATTTTTTGTACTTGTTCAAATTCTAACTTGCCCGACGACAGCTATTTAATGAAATTTAAGTAGCTATTTATATTTTATGTATATTATACCTGGTGATAGATATGATTCAGGGGAAGGTGCTGTGAAAATAAATAGTAGTAAGTTTTTAAAGTCCTACGAATTAACAAAATCTTGGAATTAGACAAGAAATCACCTGGATGAGGTGCCGTTGGACCAACTTCTGGAACTACTTCTGGAGCTAATAAAAGTAAAGCAATATGTAAACTGAGTGAAGTTTGTACAGACTATTGTCCAGTGATGAATTGGTATAAAATTTTGTACAGTTTTCGAAAATGTTACTTTAATATATAGTTAGATTATTATTATTAAAAAAAAACTACATTATGATATACCTGGGTGATCTGGCGGTGACGGTGGAGGCGATGGAAGTAACTCTGTGAGCGACAGTAATTCAATTTATAATTATTCTATTTTTATTATCGGTATCGTGATTTTGGAGCCACTATATGTAAATGGAATAAATGTACAAAATGTTTGAAATGTTTTGAGATGTACCTGGATGTAGAGGCGTTGGAGGTTGGTTCCATGGATGCCATGGAGGCAGCTCTGTGAAGAACAGAGTGAATTGAAATTAAGTTTACTTGATCGAATTTACCTCTACAAATAACAGTTGTAATAGTTAATATTTGTTCAAAATGTACCTGGATGTGGAGGTGATGGAGATGGATGCCATGGATGCCACGGTGGCAGCTCTGTGAGGAACAAAATTAAGTGAAAGTTATGTTTTTTGATCCAATTTATAAAAAATAGTGCCGTAATGTTCTCTTGAAAATAGAAATGAAGTGTTTATAAAAGTTATTTATTAAATATTTTTCAAAAACTATAAGATATTTGAGTGATCTGGCGGTAATGGTGTGTGCGATGGAAGTAATTCTGTGAGTGATAGTAATTCAACATAGACTAATTCTATTTTCATTGTCGGTATCGTAATTTGAGAGCTATTGTTTATAATTGGGATAAATGAGCAAATTATTTTAAATGAGTTTAAAGGTACCTGGGTGTAGAGGCGATGGAGATTGATTCAATGGATGCCATGGAGGCAGCTCTGTGAAAAACAGATTTAAATAGAATTAAATTTACTTGATCGAATTTACAAAATATGGTGGTATTCTCTCTTAAATTACGCCATATTTAGCTTTTGTACTTAGTAGCTGTTCTGGCTCAATGAATCGCGCTGTGGAAACATAATTATATGCAAAAAGTAAGGTCTCATAACTCCCTCTAAGTAACAAACTGTTTGAATTAGGCTAGGAATCACCTGGATGAGGTGCCGGTGGTCTGGCTTCTGGGGCCACTTCCGGAGCTAATTAAAATAAAGAAATATATTTAATAAGTGGACTTAGTATAGACAATATTAGTGATAATATACAGACATAGACAGTTTTTAATCTGTATTATACCTGGGTGATCTGGCGGTGAGGGTGGAGGCGATGGCAGTAATTCTGTGAGGGACAGTAATACAATATATACTTATTGTATTTTCATTATCGTTATCGTGATTTTGGAGTCATTGTTTATATTTGGGATAAATGTGCAAAGTTTTGTAAAATGAGTTTAAATGTACCTGGGTGTAGAGGCGATGGAGATTGATTCAATGGATGCCATGGAGGCAGCTCTGTGAGGAACAAAATGAAGTAGAAATTATTTATTGAAATTATTGTAATTAAAAAGTAGTGCAGTGATGTGCTTTTAATTTTCATTGTAGGCGTTTATATTTGATTTACATGTACCTGGATACAAGGGCGGCGGAGATGGATGTGGTGGTTGTTGCTCTGTGGAGAATATGGTAAAATATGATTTGTACTTGGTTGAATTTAAAGTTCACAAAAAGCTTTTGTGTTCTCACCGTTGTCCGGAACGGAACCGTTTATCTATTACTATTATTCTATCTGGGTACGAATGACGTTCAGGAAAAGACATCACAGAAATACATCTTTTTAAAAAAAGTAACATTTAAAACTTTACCAAATATTAAATTGTTTAAATTAGACCAGAAATCATATGTAACCGTTTTCGCTATTAAATAGTATAGATGATTCATCTTATTTACCTGCAGGAGGTGATATGTTAATTACTTCTGCAAATAATTCAAAAGGTACAAATTAGTGATTTTGTAATTTTTTGTATATAATTAAAAAAAAAACTTGTGGCGTACCTGAATGAGTTGTCACAGATACCGGAGCTAACGGAGCTAATTCTGTGGAAGATTAATCAAGTAACTATACTGATAATAATAAAGTTGCGGCTTGAAGCCATTTTACACTATTAGAGCCCAAAGTAAATGAAATAAAAATAACCTCTGAAATTGATATAAAACAAATGAATGATATGAGAGAGAATTCATCACAAGAACTTGAAGTATAAATTATATACTTAGTGAGGACAGAATGGGCTGTTTTTTGACTTGTTTATTACCAAATTGGACGACTAAAATGATTGTTTAAAATGATAGTTGTTAGAAATGTACCTGGGTGGAGAGGTGATGGAGGATGAAGCTGTGGTTGCTCTGTAAAAAGTGTTCAATGTATCAAAACAAACATCATTTTTTATTTGGAAATATAATGGCAACTAAAAATACTAGTAGAAGTGCTAATAATAGAAGTAAAATATCGCGTACTTCAACCAAAGAATAAATTGTTTATATTGGATATGAAATCACCTGGATGAGGTGCAGGTGGACCAGCTTCGGGAGCTACTTCAGGAGCTGATGAAAATAAAGGAAAATATATAATGAGTGGATCTGATACAGAAAATACTAGTGATGAAACGGTGCCATTTAGTAAAAAGTTACTTATTTTAATATTTTCTTTAAAATCTATAATGTACCTGGGTGATCTGGCGGTGATGGTGGGGGCGATGGAAGTAATTCTGTGAGCGACAGTAATTCGATTTACACGTTTTCTATTTTTATTATCGTTATCGTGATTTTGGAGGCATTGTTTGTAATTAGGATAAAGATGCAATTTTTTTTTAATTAAGTTGAAAGGTACCTGGGTGTAGAGGTGCTGGAGGTTGATTCCATGGATGCCATGGAGGCAACTCTGGGAGGAACAAAATGAAGTAGTAATTATTACTGGTGTTTTGTTAATTTTTAAGTAGCCATTTTTATTTGACTTGAATGTACCTGGATGTAGGGGCGGTGGAGATGGCTGCTGAGGTTGTTGCTCTGTGAATAATAGGTTTAAATATTTTTATACTTAAAAAAATCTACAAACAACTTTGATGTTATCTGCAATTTCTAGTAAACGTTTATATTTGACTATTATACCTGGTGACGTTTGTGGTCCAGGGGGAGGCGCTGCAAAAACAAATATTTATTCAAAAATTAAGATGTAAATCTCCCACCGAAAACCATACTATTTGAAATAGACAAGAAATCACCTGGATGAGGTGCCGGTGGACCAGCTTCTGGAGCTACTTCTGGAGCTGGTGAAAGTAAAGGAATATGTTTAATGAGGGAAGAACACAGAGCTGGTACATACTAATAGTGATGTAATTGCACCTGGTTCTATCATTGTTTACGAATAAAATAAATTTGCAAAATTTTTGAAATGAGTGGTGGTACCTGGTTGTAAAGGCGATGGATATTGATTCCATGGATGCCATGGAGGCAACTCTGTGAGGACCAAATGAAATAGAAATTATTTAACTTGATCATAATTAGAAAAAAGTACAGTGGTGTGCTTTTAATTGTTATGTATATAAGGGATACCTGGATATAAGGGCGGTGGAGATGGATGTGGTGGTTGTTGCTCTGTGGAGAACATGGTGAAATATTATATTATTTGAACTTTGTTGAATTTAAAACTGACAAGAGGCTTTGGTGTTCTCTCGATTTTACGGAATCGTTTATCTATTACTATTCTTTATCTGGTTATGTATGTGAAGGGAAATGAACTGAAAAAAGAATTGTAGCACCTACATGACCTGTAACCATTTTCGTAATTAAGAATATAGATGATTCATCTTATTTACCTTCAGGAGGTGATATGTTAATTACTTCTGCAAATAATTCAAAAGATACAAATTAGTGATTTTGTACATTTTAGTATATTTAGTTTAAAACAATTATCTTGTGGCGTACCTGAATGAGTTGTCACAGATACCGGGGCTAACGGAGCTATTTCTGTGGAATATCAAACAAGTAACTATACTGAGATAATACTAAGGATAGAGCTCGAAGCAATGTTACACTATTACAACACAAATTAAACAAAATTGTATGTAGCTATATTTAAATATTGTACCTGGCAATTCATCTGGTTTATGGAATGGCGCTGCGAAAACAAATATTTATTTAAGAAGTAAAATCTCAAAGTTCCACCAAATAACAATTGTTTGAAGTAGACAAAACATAGTCACCTAGATGAGGTGCCGGTGGACCAGCTTCTGGAGCTACTTCAGGAGCTAGTTCTGGAGCTAATTAAAATAAAGAAGTATGTTTAATGAGTAAAATACAAAGAGCCGGTGCAGAAAATATTAGTGGTATTATTGTACCTGGCTGTCCTGGCTGTAGTGGAGGAGGAGGTGGATGAAGGTCTGTGAATTATACGAGATATGTAATTGTAGATGAGTGGCAGCAGAACTGGTAATATTGATATACCTGGCGCTGCATCTGGGTGTGGATGTGTTTTTGTGAATATAGTAATCCATATTTACATACATATAAATAGTATTAAACTGTTATTAGAAATTGTATACTTAAACGTCTTGATAACATTACGAATGTATGCTATGGCTCATTCTGTTACAAAACTATTTTGTTGTCAAAAAATATTGTTGAATGTTAATTTCCACACTATTCGTATAAAAATAGTTCCGTACCTTTTTGTGGATATGGTAGAAGTGGGGATATTGCGGGTATAGGAATGTATTCTGTAACAGTTCATTGTATTGGTTAACATTTGTAATAAGTTATTGTTGATTGGTTACTTCATAGAGATAAAATTACATTCAAAATAATTTACCATATTTAGGACTCCAAGTCAATCGCGGAGCTAAAGTTTAATAAAAATATGTTTTAATTAGTCATCTTCAAAACCAGTTCACTTTTTACTTTTTAACCAATAGTATAACACATAGAACGAATTTACACTTGGATACACAGACACAATACCTAACACACAGAAATGAAACTGAAAGCAATACTAATCTTTGAATAAACCTAAATGATCTCAAACGAGCGAGTTAAAAAGACGAACAATATTTGAATTTCATCAACACAGCCTAAACAACAACACCAAGGAAATGACCAAAGACACGCGATGCAACATAAAATAAAAACTTCAAACTAGAAGATAAAAGGAACAAAGAAAAGAATAACAAGATACCTACATTATAAATGACGAAATGACTTACCTGGTAGAGGAGGTAATGGAATCGCATTATGTTCCTCTGTTGAAGAAAACAATGAATGATTACATTCCGCAAATAATTGAGATGATTTAAGATAATAATGCTAAAATATAAACATGTTAGTCACTTACCTACGCACAGGTCACAGGCCACGCACTTGGAGTACAGTAGGCCTATAGTTGAACTGAAGCAGGCGCAGACGAAACAGATGGCTCCTCTCCTCTCGTAATACATTTCACCCTGCGAGTGGCATTTGTGGAGCGACTCTATAGAGATAAACATAAATATGTTATAATTAAGTCAATTCTGGAAGTTCTGTTTTCAATTTTAGTTCTTTTTTTTATTATTTTATATAAATAATGGTTCCAGTTAAATATGTTACGGTAGTGTTTGTTTTTTAGTTTGACTTGGCGGGGTGCTGCCATGCCCCCAGTCCATGTGGTGACGACATGGAGTAATACAATTCGCATCACTTCAGTTCTTTACGGGTGTCGTGAGAATTGGTTAAGTGATTCCACAGTTAGGCAGATGGGGGAAAATAATTCTTTGATCATTTCGCGTGAATTGCGATCTACCCTGCTTGTCTAGTGTGGAGATCATGGCATTACAAACCCATAAAGTGATTGATTAGGGATGATTAATGTTGTGGATACTGTACCTAAGGGTAACGGCAGTCCGATCAACTCGTTCGGGTTGAACATTCGACTCTCGTCGGAGTCTGAGTCCTCAGCTGTTACATCTTCAGATGTTACATCTGTGGAAGACATATTAATGTAACGTACTTGTACGAATGGATTTAAATAATTTTTTGACAAGAACTTTATATTATTACCGTCTTAAAGTAGGCCCGTGAATGTATTGAAACATTATCAAATGAAATATTACCTGCTTCAGCTGTTACATCTGTTACACGGCCGCTACGCAGCTCAGCATACTGTGATGATGCAGCCGACAGGTCATCTTCTTACCCAATAAAAAAAAATAAAAAATGCAAAAAAAAAATCGAGTCATTTCTAGTATCTTCACATCCATTGTGTTGTGCCGTTTAAGGAAAATTATGGTAAAACTTACCGCTATCGGGTCGTGCAAGGACCCCTACAGCCAAAACAAAGAGAAGCCATAGGCTCCTCTTGATCTTCACCATGATACTTGGACCCGAGCTGAACTTTGGACCCAACAGTGAGTTGCGCACAACTCACCGAAGATAGTAGCTCCCTCAACACTAGCGCTATTTAAACCATTTTTCCTTTACGCATTGAAATGTATGTCCAATCGATTTGTATATTAAATTCACAATAATATATAGTTTTAATCTCATTTTAATATATTTAAATGAAGCATAAACATGTAAGGGAATTAATTAAATTTTTGCGTAACTTTTTCATGCGTTACAAAGTGAAAGGATAATCTTCTAGTACTGGCGACAGTTGTGTCTGACACTCGAGAAATGGGTCAATATGTCACCTGCACCGTGCTGCCACCTGTCGTCTTCGGAAACAATAACTGTCATATTTATCTTTTTCTAGCTTGAGAGAAAAAGTTATGTGAATATTTGGTACTACAATATTTGGTCTTACAATAGATAAACGTATTTAAATGATGTAATCTACTGAAGTATACTTGTTCTACACATCCTTGAAAGAAAACGAATTTTTAATTTCTTCGTTCTTTTACCACTTATCACCACAATGACATAAAAGTTACATTTAAAATGTCGGAAAAACAAGAGCAACAATCGGGGGTCTCCGCCACAATGGGGCGGGCGGCCGGAAGCAGGCCGGGAGCCACCGGAACCGGAAGTGCGACCCACTAATGATGCTCCGTGGCGCCATCTACGTGCAAGCCTGCGTGAACGTTACCATTGTTGTTGAAATGAAATTTTCCAAATGTGTTGTGTAAATATTAAATGAAATAACGTAATATTTTAGCAAACTGTGGTCACACGTGCAGGGAGCTAGTTGATAACTTAATTATTTGATTATAGCTTGTCTATTGCTGTAGCAATTTTAACGACTTCAATCAAAATACCTAAACATAATTAATCTAAAATACATCTTTTTAATATAAATTATTTTATTCATATAACAATCCAAAATCCAATTGGATTCGTACACTGAATACAGAAAAATATCAGACGAATCTATTCGAAAACGAATCAGTCCCATTTGGCGGGAACATGATTGATTAAACCAAGATGGCGGACATTGTTATTGACAGCTGACATTGCAGGATACGTCAATACGTGCGCCGTGTGTTAGTTTATGGAAAATACTTTTATTTTATTATTATTTAGTTGATTTTATTAATGTTTCTTCACGATTTTGTGTACCTTTAATATTACAATATTTATTTTTAAACGTCAGATAAATATATTTGATATTTACGTCGTCGTTTCATTTTATGTGAAAACGAATATGACAAAAAACGGAATTACATAGAATTATTGAGTATATATACGATATTTAACAATTTAGAAAATGAGATTTACTCAAAAGAAACCATTTATAAAGGATATCCATATCATTATACGAGTTACACGAATTACTGATTAAAAGGCTCCCTTGAGAGTTTTTCCTTTGGCGAAGTTTTCCCTAACTAGTTCCTAACTGGCTGTACAGAGCATACATTCCACTTGAGCACGTACGAAATAAATTTTATTAAGAAATTGTTATTTAAACATGGCACTGTAATTATAAAGAAAAATGCACTCTGTTCTATATATTTTTTTAAGTTTTTGCATCCAAGTACCATTCATCTGTTGTCAGTAAAATTATTTTCTCATTTTTTCGAAACTGCCCCAAATATCTAATGTTCTAAGTTGCGTTACTCATGATTATATTTTCTGTTGTTACAGGTAAGAGCTCGAAACATCATTACAGTCCAACGACAAGGTAAAGCATTTATAGAGTAACTTCATTTAAACATAATTGAAAGACTGCAAGTACCTATTCGGGACACATAAACCAGATATATGTATGTATTGATACATACATAGACGGTGAGTTTGCCGATACATATTTTCATCTGAGTTTGGCACAATGTGCACATTTTTGGACCAAATAAATTCTGATTATTTCGTAATCACTCTATGCCTCAGTTCTTAGTTATTTTGTTCAGTTCTTGCCTTTTTTCTTTTATTTATTTTTTGTAGAAGGGGGTTGGATTGGGATTTTTCCTGTGTTTTGGGTGTGGTCATAAACGTATAAATTTACATACCCATTACCAAACCCGAAACAACAATTTGGCGATCACAGAAAGAGTTGCTTTACAAGAGTAAGAATCGAACCTGCTACAAATTGCGCGACAGCCAGTTGCCTAGCCACTGTGCCAATCGTGCAGTCATTTTTTAATTCATTATTTGCACATTTTTGTGTTGCCCACCGACCACCGTCGTCATTCCCATTTCTAGAACTTCGTACATCATTACGAGGCCGTCCGTCCCCGGGCACTCGTTAGTTAGTAAACAGGTCCCGGTTCACTTCTTGGGGGAGACTAAGTGCAGCTGTTCTGATCAAATCTACATATGCAATTTAAACTTTCCTCTTTGCTAACATCAAGTAGTTTTCCAGGTGTTTCCCAGTAAATCATTTCCATGAACAAATTTATTATTGTTTAAACTTTGTGTTTAGTTTATTTTAATGTCAGTTATGGGAATGTTTATTTCAATTAGGTTTAAATGATGAAGTGCGAGGGAAGTTTTGGTCAGAAGGCCCGGTAAGGTAGATGGGTCAACGGTGTAGTAGGAATTTATGTGTAAAACATAGAATTTGGTAACTGGAATCCTTTTGCTATTCATTTTCGTTTACCATCAACGGAACGTTTCGAGTGTTCTATTTAATGGAGAATAATAATCACTAGTTAAAACAAATGATTAACTAATCAACTTTCAACCGAATAAACTTACATAAAAAAAACTAATTGGAAAATTAATAAAATCCAGAACAATGTCAGTCAGATGGGTACTTAAATATTTGAGTACACAACACAATCAGTAAAATGAAACATCTCTCAAAACACTGACTTTCGAACACTCCACAATACAGAGATGAGCGAAAAGTTTTCGTGTTTAAAATCCCAAACTATATATCAGTGGCGCCATCTGCCGGCGCCATAATGGAAACTGCCAGAGTTAGCGAATACGAATACATGGCGGGGATTTTCATGAAATGCACTTTCCTATAGATTCGATGTAGTACCTTCTTTATGTTGATTCGCATTTGTTTTATATATCAAACTTGGTGTTGTGGCAACGAACTCTTGGTCATATAAGAGTTCGTTGCCGCAGTTGAGTGAAATTGAAATTGGAATTCATTTCAAAGTCAAAGTCAAAATCATTTATTTCAATTATGCCAGAATGACACTTTTGAACGTCAACAACAAAAATTAAAAGTGAAGCTATTTGCTCATTCCAAAGTGTAGCTTCCTATGGAGAAGAACGAGCAAGGAACTCCATAGGTTACTCTTTTTCAATCAGGTTCACAATACAATTTACTAGTTACATTTCATTTATTAGTTATTGGAAGCTCAGTTGTTATTGCAACATGGCTGAAAATGATAAATCAACTTTAAGTATATTCGCTTTTCAGTAGTTACCTAAATACTTAAAATATTTAGTCCTAATGATGTCCGGATTGAACCAGTAAGCAAAATATTCATAATTTCAAGCAAACTGGAAACTTTGTGTAAATGTCGCCGGGATGCGGAGCGTCATTTGTTGCTATGTCGCTTGGAACATGATGCTCTTATACAGGGCTGACACACGACATAACATTTATTTTTATGTTATTGGACTCTGATACTTGCTTTTTACTATGTTTGTGTATATTTATGTCAATATAAAACCGTTTCCACAATATTTATTCCGGGTCTTGTAAAATCTTACCGTCGATATTTTGGAGAATAGTATAAAATTGTCATACCTTACCTCTTTATGTAAATAATAGAATCTAACAATACGATTAAGCAAATAGATATCCAGGAATTTGATTTATAAGTAACTAGCAACCCGCCCCGGCTTCGCACGGGTGCAATATGCATGATATAAACCTTCCTTAAGAATCACTCTATCTATTAAAAAAAACCGCATCAAAATCCGTTGCGTAGTTTTAAAGATCTAAGCATACATACGGACATACAGCGAAAGCGACTTTGTTTTATACTATGTATTGAAATCACGTCTATTTACCTAAAACTTGAGCAATATGTGTATTTTTTTTTAAATCGTTGTCTCGCATTGGAGTTTTCGCCTATGTCGTGAGTGCGTTTACAAACATACACATGACACCAAGAATCGGAACAACAATCAGTGGATTACACAAAGAGTTGTTCCGTGCGGGAATCGAACCCACGACACGCTGCGCGGCAGCCAGTTGCCCAACCACCGCGCCAGCCGTGCAGCCAAAGTTGCCAGCTCACAAGATAAATGTAATAAAAAGATTACCAATGAAACCATCCCTTGACTTTTAAATCTGTCATTATTAAGCTCAATTTATGAGCGTACCCAAATTACGTCGCCTTCTTTCAATAAATACTCTACATGGTGTCTCCCGGGAGTGTGTGTACCCAGCCCTGTGGCAAGGCATTACTTCAAACGGTGTATGCTATACCTGCCACACCTCACTTACTTGCCGCCGTACATTCTCTCCGTGAAAGCACAGAGCGGTCCTGTGCTTTTACCAGACCCTGTCTTTGAGGCCCGGAAATGCTTTAATGAGGAATTGTTATCACACAAGGGTACTTTCTCAAATTATCACACTTTGTTCCAAAATGAATTTTAGTACTCAATGTTAGAGTTTATTTTTAGTTGCTGTGCTGTGGTTACTAGTTTAGTTACTGTCACTTGGGAGTCTTTAGGATTGGTTGTAAATTGTATAGTATGTTGGATGATATTTAATTGTATAGGATTTTTTTTTAATTTATTTATTTATTCAAACATATTCACTGTGTTATTATACTTTTTGCCGTAAGGATTCTCTGACAGTCGACCATTAGGTGGTGCAGAATGTTAAAGCACTAGCTGCAAAATTATCGTAAAGAAAGTATGAAGTAGATAACAGAAGTTAAGGTAATAAATATTATAGAGGGAAGACATGATTGTTATAATAAATAATACGTAACTAAGGGAGATATAGTCCTACGTAATAACCATTGACGCAAACATGTGTGACGTCACACATGAAAATTTTCTGT